CTGACCAGGCAAATGCAGTTCATGAGCAATTTCATCGTCTAACAAATGGCCAATCACAGCAAGCACAGGCTGCAGATTCAGTGTGGTGAACTGAGAAATGACCCACTTGGGACCATAAAACGAGGAGGGTGGGACATACACGCTCGCTGGGCAGGTCACGCAGCACACTGTCCGAGGAGGGAAAATGATCCGTGCGCCCAGGCACGCACACGGAGACCACAGCCCAGAACCTCGACGCTCACAATTAAATCATTTAAAGAAAGGGGGAAAAAAATCAGGGCTGGCACAGGCCAGACACCTTCTGGAGAGGTCAATGTTACCACCAGACAGAGCGTGTCTACAGAGGAGCTCCCTGCCAAGCCCCAACGCCAATCAAAAACAGTGCCCCTTCTGAGTCTCCTGGTTACCCAGAAGTCTGTTAACCTGTTGGCCCAGAGATCATTTTCACATCGTACCTTGAGGTCGGGGGTTCTGCCACTGCCACTGACACGATGGCTGAGGGATGTGGATTCGGGGGTGCGGAAGGAAGAGGACTGAGCCGAGTTTTAGCCTCAGCCCCTAACTTCCTGTCTGTCAACTGTGACAGCCCCACTCAGACTCCCTGAGCCACGGTTTCCTGCCCGAATTAATAAATGAAGTGAACTTTAACAAATAAAGCAGTGAACAACAGGAAGAATCCTTACTGCTGCACGAGTCCCCGTCTTTCAGTTGCCCCCTGCATAACGCCAGCGCAAGGACTCTGGTCATTTATCGGACGCTTACTAAGTGCAGGCTTATATTATATGGATAAGCCCTGGTTTTTAGAAAGAAGTAAATAGTCTAACAGGTCATAGGGTGGAAGAAAATAACTTCACGTGGCTCTGGTCCTGCTTTCTGTGTTAGGACGGGAGAGGCAGCAGTAGAGCACTCGGGGCAGTTTTACATGAAAAGCCTTGGGCAATTCATTCTGATTCAGTGCGGCGTTCTAGAATGCTCTCTCAACTGTCTGCCACATTACAAGCGGGTGTAGGTTGAAAGTAACTGGCGAGGGTCTGAGTTCTGCCCGGTGTGATTTTAGCCACTTGCCAAGTGCTCCGCAGGGAGAAGGGTAGGAGGCGGAGCCCCAGTGCCGGGAACTCTAAGCTTAAAGTGAGTGCTCAGGTGCCCGCTGAGTGCATGAGGTGAGGTCCTGCTTTGGCTTCTGCAGACACAAGAGCCTAGAACAGAAAAAGGACCCTCTGCTCACTCCTGAGGCCAGGGCTTCTGACGACAGCAAGGGAAGCAGACCAGGACGCTTTCAGCTGCGCCCGCCCCGTCCAGGCCCGGCAGGGGGCGGTGGGGGCACCCTGGGTCAGCGCTGTCTACCTGCCGGCGTGTGTGGCAGGCCTGGCCCGGCTGGTTTCCCTGAAAGCCTGGCTCTCACAGCAACCCAGGCTCTGCCCACCTCCAAGTCAGGGCACGTCTGCCCACCGCCAGGCCCCACTGGTGAAACTGCGGCCAGAGTGGTGGGAAATGGTGGTCAGCCAAAAGCAGAAACCAAAATTACACAAAGGGAAAAACAGGAAGGGACCGCGAAATAAAAACAGCAAGGAAAGGTTTTGCATTTAACACCCACATTGTCCTACTTTCACTTTCCCAGGAGATGATTCTGTCATCCAGAGCCCGGTGCCAAATGTTTGCTCAGAGTGTGTGCAGAGGCCTACAATCACCAAGAACTCCGAATAGCTGAACTTGAACTCAGCGCTGCCAGTGACGGACGTGATTGGTCCCCCCTACCCAGTGGGGTCAGTGGATGTGTAACCTCACAGGTGAAGCTCCACCCTAAGCAGCTTTCACAGGCGTGGGCAACCCAGCCTTCCCACGCCCCCTGAGGCAGCGTAGGTGCTGGCAGAATCCTGGATGTAAGGCGGGTGCTGGCCCCTCCCTGAGTGCCCCACACTGGGGGGTCCTTAAGAAGAACCCGGCAGAACAGTGTTTGAACAAGCCCCCAACTCCAGGAAGAACCTCTCCGAGGAGGCTGAGGGGGTCAGCTCACGCTCCATCCCTTCCCGCTACTCACCATGTACGAAGGGAAGATCAGAACTCGTTTGTGCTTGCCACAAGGCCACTGGGGGTCATCCAGGAGATTTGGGTCATAGTCCATAAAGTCTCCCAGGTCGCTGCCTAAGGATGACATGCAAAACGATAGTCAGGGCCCTGGACCTCCCAAAGCAGAAGCAGCCAGGCGAATGCCAAGTACAAAGTCAGACTGAAGGCTGGCTTCAGGTTACTGGGCCCAGAATCGCATCAGCCGCTCTGACCATCAGCAGACGTCTCTGCACGCCAATGAAGCATATCCCCGCCACAGAGGGGTTCACCAAACACTTAACACTCTGACATTTTTTCCACTGTAGAAAATCATGCGTTTATCTTCCTGACCCAGGAGAGCACAAAAACTCACAAGCGTGAACAATGCTGTAAACACTCACAGATTACAAAGCATGGCACAGGAAAGGCTCACTTTCTAAACCTGCAGATCAAATGGGCCTCAAGTTGCCCCACGTGAGAAGCACCTTTGGTGTGAGTACCTCCGGGCAGGCTGTGGGGTCTGTATGAACACAAACCAGAGCGGACGCCAACGGCAGGCAATGACCAGAGGCGGCCGGAACATTGAGACAGTGCTTCTGAACTCAGCACCTGGACAGGCCTGAGGAATGTCACGCTCAGCAGGAATTTCTCCAAGAGTGGAAATAATCCTTCCTCACAAAGTGTTTTCCCCTGCGTCAGTTCTCACAAAGGCTTGTAAAGACGGAAGATTCAAGTCTTCTGTCAGCAGCTGAGTGAACTCACCCAATATGAGAATCACCTGATCATGCATTTATGGCCCAGTTATTTGAAGAATGGCCAAACTGGAGCACTACGAAAATGCAGGCAGGAGCCAAGTAACTGGAGAGATGAGGAGCTGAGTGGCGGAGAGAAGCCGGGAGTCCGGGCATCTCCCCTCGTGGGAGCTTAGGGCTGACGATGGAGGCCTCTCACTAGAGAGCGCGCCCCGTGGCCTGCTTGTGAGCCTGCGTGGCCTGAAATCCGCCAGAAATCCCAAAAGTCATGTCACCTGCAGGATGAGCTCACGCTCCTGGGGCACCTGTCCTCCGATCTGCACACGGGGAGACCCAATCCACACTGTCCACCAGGGCACCTCCTACCACGACCCCTCCAGACCAGCCGGGCCCGGCTCACCTGTGTCGAGGCCGCCCTGGGTGCTGCCTGCCCGCCCTATGGAGAGGCTGCGGTGGCTCAGGGCACGGAGCTGGGGGCAGGAGGCCGTGGAGTCTAAGGTGTTTCTCCGCGCTCCAAAGGCATTCGTGGGTAGCAGAAACTGGGTATAAGAAACAGTCTAAAAGGTGAAGACAAAAAACAAGCCAGTGATTACTCCCAGGCAGGGTTAGGTCTGCGTTCTGACCAAGCTGCACGGGCACCCAGCGCTCAGGGCTGTGTTCTCTCCGTGGCAAGTCTGTCCAAGGAGATCTGAAGGGGGACATTTGCTCTGGCACTTGTTTCTGCCAAAACCTAACTGGGCTGACGTGAGGCCGTCTATAGTTTCAGTTTATCCCACTAGGCGTGAATATTCATGTGATGGGGCAGGGGTATTAGTGTGTCTGATAACAAGGTGCTATCTGGGAAGTTGCTGGGGTGTTTGCTGTCCGATCCAGGAGGCACATTTCACAGCACCCTTTATAATCCACCAAGCGCAGGATTCCAGCACGTCAGGCCCCAAGCGTCTGATCGGGTAGCGTGCCCTCCCGTCTCCTCTGGCAGAAGCTGGCTCTGTGGCGCTCTTCTCACTCCATCCTCCCTCATTCCTCCGTGAACACTCAACCTTCAGGAACGAGGATACAACACATGCTTTTCTTTTCACCCGCTTGGGGAAGCATGGCTCACACCCCACTCCATGTGAGCTCAGGGCGATGCCATTTGGGCACAGCGGGGACCAGCCGTTCTGCGAGAAGGGTGACAACAGCTAGTGGTGGTGGGGAAAGTTGTCTGCCGTCCCAGCAGCTTCACCTACAAGCAAACTACACTGGGACGACTTCCCCAAAGACACTTGCATTGTCTCCAGAAACAGGCTTTGTGAGAGAGCTCACGAAGACTGCCTAGATCCAGCAGTAAAAAGTCAAGTTCGTATTTCAACCCTCACTCCTCGGACTTCAGCCCAGCAGCTCAGTGAGTTATGGATGAAAGAGGGATGTCACAGCCCCTCTGCTCAGTGTTCAGCCTCTTAGGACCTTGGGAAGCCAAAGACCCTGTGCAGTAGTGGGAATGCTGCTTGGGGTCGCCGTGAGTTAACACATCAAACCATCTGTCACTCCAGCCTGCAACATGCACGTGTGTGAGGAAAAGTAGTCCCCCTAACCCACAGTTTCTGTTGCTCATGGTCTGAAAATATTAAATGGAAAATTCCAGAAATACACAATTCATAAGCTTTAGATTGTGTGCCATTCAGGGCAGTATGATGAAATCTAGCGCCATCCCGCCCAGGACGTGAATCACCCCTTTGTCCAGTGCGTCCCCCTCTTCTTAGTCACTCGGTAGCTGTCTCAGTTATCAGAGTGGCTGTCACGGAATCACAGTCCTTGTGTTCAAGGGACCCTTATTTTACTTCATAGTGGCCCCAAAGCACAAAGTAGTGACGCCAGCAATTCGGATATTCTTTTATTCTGCCTAATTTATAAATTAAACTTAATTTTAGGTATGTCTGTATGGGGAAAACATAGTTTGGTATAGGGTTTGGTACCATCCAAGGTCTCAGGCATCCGTCTCGGAACGTATCCCCTGAGAATAAGAGGGGTGCTGGTCAGGATCTCGGATTCCGTTATAAACAGCATTGGTGCAGAAATAGCTGTGGGGCTTTTTAATCCATCTGCAGGCTGGGGAGCTGGTGCCATTCACCCAGGAACGTGCCCCGCACCTAGTTCCCCACCACGAGGGCGGCTCGCGGTCCCTCACGCAGCCTCTGCCACCTGACCCTGCTGGCGCCAGCCCAAGCCCGAGGCCTGGAAGCCAGGCAGCCTTACCTTCCCATCGGCTCCCAGCTCCACGCCTTCAAGGCCGATGATCTCCTTCAAGCTCACGGCTCCTGCTGATTGTCTCCCTCCGTCCAACTTCAAATCCCTGGGGGGGACAAGCCGAAGGAAAAAATGCTCCTGTTTGCACCCGAAGGAGCCATGGTGATGCTTACTGTACAGGGATACCACAGTCACACTCACAAAAATGACAGTGCCTGCCTGGTGGGACCCTCTCTTTGTCCTTCCTTCTCAGTAGCACTCTGTGGGAGTTCCACCCACTTTGATATAAACGAAATCCAAGTGAAAAGAGGGCCTGAAGATGAAAGTCAGGCTCAGAAGCCGCTGGGTGACCAACATCCCTTCCCGCTCAGCAAGGTCCCTCTGCTCTTAGACAGTCGGCTAACAGGAGGCCGGGGGAGACCACCTCTCCCGGCCACCCCCTACATTAGACAGGAGAAAGAAGTTCTTATCGTTAACAGTTCTCAGGCTTATTACTAGTAATGAAGGAATTAAAGCCACAACAGCCACCCCAGCTACCTGCCAGGCCACTTAAATGATTATCTTTCTGTAAGAGAACGATCTCCAGTATTAACAGCAAGCGTTTACAGAGCGCTTCACAATTTACAAAGACTTCCACACAGCTTCTCTTTCATTCTTTAAGATGACCCTGTCACACAGGCATTGCTGTTATTATCCTATTTTACAGACGAGAACAACAAGGCCCAGAGTAGGTAGACGGCTTGCTGAGGTCACCGTGAGAGTCAGCTGCAGAGACTGGGTCTGCACCCTGTGCTGTATCTAGTGCAGCATGTTGCCTCAGAGACACAAGACGGTCTGGCTGTGGCTATGCTCAGGACTAAATGCTCCCATTCTCAAGGACAGTCCACTTCCTTCCAGCAGTTCTCAGAGTCGGCTGCATATTAGAATCACCAGGGATATCTGACAACCTGCAGGCACGCTTCAGAGATAACTGCGGGTTTGGCTGCAGGCCACACCAGTAGAGCAAATATCGCAATAAAGCGAGTCACCAATTTTTTGATTTCCCAGTACATATAAAATTATGTATGTACTTTACTATGTCTATTAAGTGTGCAATAGTGTTATGTCTCAGAAAACAATGTACATATCTTAAATACTTTACTGCTAAAAGATGCTCACCATCATCTGACAATGCAACGTTGCCACAAACCTTCAATTTGGAAGAAACAAGTTTCAATGAAGCACAACGTAATGGGATGCGCCTGTCCTGTGCCTGGCTCCCATCCCTGGTCATTCATTCTGATTCAGTCAGGTGGGGTGTAACCTGGGCAGCAGGAGTTTTAAACGCTCCCCAGATGACTCGGAATTGCAGCTGTGTTTGGAGAGCACTCTCTTTCAGCCTGGCCCTACAACACAGTGCTTGTTAGCCAAAGCCGCCCCAGGCCGGCCACATTCCTGCCGTGTGGCCTGGAGGGAGGCACCACCTTCAGGGACATCTCCTACAACCCGAGCAAGAATAAACAAGATGCAAAGGCAAGACTCTCCAGGCCAAAGGTAAAGGAATCAAGGAGAGAGAGAAAGGGAGCCAGGTGAGAGGTGGGGAAGAGAGACAAGAGCCCCCCCCCCAGCCAGACCTTCTAAGAAGGGAAAAAGGTATCCTCTGACTCTGGAGCAACCGTCCTCGTCCACAGGCATTCCGTGCATGAACTGGCTCCCCTGTCCTGCCTATGATGCGAAGTGATTAATGACAGTTTTCAAAAGCCGTGATAAAAATTCACATCCTACATGAAGCACAGAGCAGCAAGTCCTTTTGCCCTGAGGGGCCATGGGGACAGAGGAGACGGGGCTTTTGGCAGTGCCAGACACACCAAAGGACAATGAGTAACAGTGCTCCCCAAGGTCACAGTGTTCCAGGTCCTTCGTGAATCCTGGAGAGAAGGGCAGGGTGCCCAGTGATAATTAAGTCTGAATTTCCCTCCAGCCCTGTAGAAGGGAGTTTATATTATTTATATTCAGCAAACTAAAAAGAAAAAAAAAAGCTATATTTCTTGCACAGCAGAGCTGGCTCACCTGTATTGGCTATATTCAGAAACTTCACCAACATTGTTGTAAGTATTACAACTGCCCTAGAAAATTGAGTGCTTTGTGCTGGCCGATAAGGGCACACTTTTCCATTTTTTTTGGCGCAGGGGAGATAGATTTATTTTTTTAATGGAGGGACTGGGGATTAAACCCAGGACCTTGTGCATGCTAGGCACGTGCTCTACCACTGAGCTACACCCTTCCCACCTCCAGTTTTTCCTCTGCCTCATATTCAGGAAAAGGTTCCACTAACTTTGGGGCTGCCGTTTTGGTGGGACTGAATTAAAAGCACTTGGGTACACACATCTGCTTACACAACCACGTGTCCACGGAAAATGAAACACATCGTATCTATTTCAATCACGTTGGTCTCTTTTAACAGCTTTTGGATTTGTATACATTGAGACTCTTGGGATCTGCAAAATATATCTTTCACAAAGAGGCTGACAGACTTCTCTAGGTGGCAGCTAAGTGCACTCATAAGAGTTGCTGAATCCGTATACAGTTGGCCCTCCAAATCCACAGGTTCCACATCCATGGATTCAACCAACCACTGATCAAAAATATTTGGGAAAAAAATTCTAGAAAGTTCCAACAAGCAAAACTTGAATTTGCAGTGAGCAGGCCACTATTTACATAACATTTATATTGCATTGGGTATTACAAGGAACCTAGAGATGATTTAAAGTGTATGAGTTGAAGGGGAGGATATAGCTCAGTGATAAAGCATGTGCTTAGCAGGCGCAAGGTCCTGGGTTCAATCCCCAGGACCTCCATTCAAATAAATACATAAGTTAAAAAAAAAACTTTCCTAAAGTGTTATGAGAGGATGTGGGTAGGTTATACACAAATACTATGCCATTTTATATAAGGGATTTGAGCATCTGTGGATCTTGGTATCCACTGGGGGTCCTGGAACCAATTCCCTGCGGATACTGAGGGATGATTACATTAACAAGAACCGTATGAAATTGATGTTATTTGTCTGTTTTGACCTACATAAACAGCGACTTCACACCACAGCACCTAATGTACAGACAAGGTAACTGCTCAGGCATTAATGTGTCAGTGTAACACAAGCAAGAGACCTGTGGTCCTCCATGCCCCATTGCTGTGGGAGCCCTGGGTTGAAGCCAGAGGCAGAAAGGAATTCTGAAGTGTTGCTGGTTCACCCAAAGAGAATCTTTCAAAAACGCCAGTGAAAAAGAATTAAGCAGAAGTCCCACAGTAGTGATAAAATCTTGATGTTTTCTTTCTAAGATCATCATTGTGAATTCTTGTTAAAATGGTGTATGAAAGTAGAAATATCTGTTTGGCTCAAATGCCAACATTAACCCTCCAGTACCAGGAGGTTGAGCTGGGGACCAGAGAACAGCGGCTGCAAGTAATTAAAGCAAACTGAAGTTAGACTTTTCTATTTCTTTGAAAAGCCTAGGAGATGACTTTTTCCAAGATAGCTCTAGAGTACAAATATTAATTTATTTATGTTCTACCTCCTAAAAATGGAATGAAGGCAAGTTCAAATACCAGATGTGGGTATTGTTCAAAATTGTAAGCATTAAGGTTTAAATGCTGTAGCTGGCACTCAGAGACAGAGTTAGGTCACAGGAAAAGATCTCATTTGGGCAGATGAGCTAACAGAACCACTGGTAGAACCGCGGACAACGCAAGGGTCGGATTCTTTCTCTTCTACGGGCCCGGGCGACACCACAGCTCAGACTTACTTGGCTACCAGAGCTCATTTCTCATTCTGTTCAGGTTTGTTAACTTCTGCAGAGGATGTAGGCAACAAACACACTGAAAACCCAACACAAAGATTTTTCTGCAATGTGTGGCTGATGGGGTTGGAGAGGGGATGGTGGCAGTTCAAGGTGGGGCAGGGGAGGGGCTCAAAGTAGACTGGGGGGGATATTAAAACAGAGGATGAAAATGCAGTGAGCAGTTGTACCCTTAAGCAAGGGACAGAAATACAGGTTGGTTCTTTTGAGGGGGCGTAAAGCTATCCTTCACAAGACGGAACCTCAAGTCACTTAATGCAGCTCTCCTGGAAAGCCCGTAACTTCATGGCTGGAAACCCCCTGGACCTGTGTCTTAGTTTTGGCTCCCACGGCATAAAGTGAAAGTACATGATTTCACAGCGTGGCGTCATCTGGTCAGAGCAGATGGCCAATCTAGATATCCTGGTGCCCAAAGGGGGTTACCCTGATCGCTATTATCCACACAGCGGCCAACTCATGATTTCATCTTGTGGAATAGGTAAAATGCTCTTTCGTTTCCTTTTTTAAACTCACTGAGCCATGATGCATGAAACTGATCAAACAAGATTCCCTACTAGATAACAAGAAATTCAAGCTACGGCCCTTTTCTTAGGGAGCATATGAACCAATATTCCTCTTAATTAAAAAAAATAAGATTTAAATACTTAACGCCTAGAACATAGATAGAAAAAAGTGTGTGTGTGATCAATTAACTAGTTTCCAGGGCTTTCTGCTTCCAAAGTGGGAATGGCCTGACTTTTATCCCTAATCATTCCTTTCATGGCGCTCTAAACTCAAGACCTTGGAATGCCGACTGGGAGCTCCACTGGGCACCTGCTCTCTAAAGGACCACAACAGGTTTAACGCTTTGATGTGTAAATAATTTCGCAGCCAATTAAATATTAACAGGATTTCCAGATCCTTCAAAAAAAAAATTGAGATTTGCTCTGCAGAAAGCAAAGCCTGAAAGCTGGATTAGGGAAGGAAATACCACTTGTGAGCTAATTTTAATTACGAGATTACACATCCACTGGAACTCAACCATAGAAGCATTTATCACAGTTTAAGAAGCCCTGTTTGTCGCCTCTTCAGATACGGCCCAGCTGCCATCTTGGATTGGGTCTGCTTCCTTGTATCGGAGCAGAACGTTAGCACCACCCCCAGTTCAGCCGATGGAACAAGGCCCGGGGCTGACAGGAAAAAGTGAAATCAAAGCAGCTTTTAGTCTAGAAGTCCAGCCCCTCTGACACTCAGCACTTCATTGATAAACCCCTCTCCACCCCCCTCT